TAGGGAGTGGAGTTGCCAGGACCCGAACCAGCTCCCATATGGGATGCTGGCATGGCAGGCGGAGGCTTAACCTACTACATATGACTGTGGCACTACAGTGCCAGCCCCAGGTACAGGATTTAAAAACTTGATTTTATTAAATAATTTTTTTAAAAAGCTATTTATTTATATGAGAGACATAAATATTTATATGAGAGACATATAGGGAGACAAAGATCTCCCATTAGCTGGTTCCCTTCCCAGATGCCTGTAAGAGCCATAGGTAGACAGGCATAAGCTGGGAGCTGGAACTCAATCCATGTCTGCCGCGTGGGTGGCAGGGACCCAGCTGCTTGAGCCGTCACTGCCCTCCCAGAATCTGCATTAACAAGAGGCTAGGATTCATTATCTTTGTTTTTGGGTAAAATATTTTTTTTCTTAAAGATTTATTTATTTATCTGAGAGGTAGAGTTACAGACAGAGGGAGAGACAAAGAGATCTTCCATCCACTGGTTCATACTCCAAATGGCTGCAACAGCTGGAGATGGGTCAATCTGAAGCCAGGAGCCAGGAGTTTCTTCCGGGTCTCCCATGTGGGTGCAGGGGCCCAAGCTCTTGGGCCATTTTCCACTGCTTTCCCAAGCCATAAGCAGAGATCTGGATCTGAAGAGGAGCAGCCAGGACACCAACCAGCACCCAAATGGGATGGCAGCGCCGCAGGCGGAGACTTAGCCTACTGTGCTCAGCACCGGCCATTGGTGAAATATTTTTCAAGTTGTAAAACTAGAACCTGCTCACTGGGAGAGAGAGTAAAATACAAAGAATCACTCGCCATCCCATCAGTGTTTTCTTCCTGGTCCTTTGTACACAGTCATATGTAACACTTGGACCTTTCTTTTCTCATGACAGAAGTGACATGTGCTTATTGCGAAGTAGTCCAAAGAGATCAGAATGCATGAAGTTATTTTTGAAGTGTTCATTGCGTGGGGGGAGCCTTCTGTTGTGGGCCGAGTGGGAGATGCCTGGGCCGGGGAGGTCAGAGGCTGCGGACCTGGGTTTGTGTGAAGGCAGCGGAGCCTGCACAGCAAGGGCAGGAGGAGACCGGGAGGGTCCGGCGTGGAAGGGGAGCTCAGCTGCCGGCAAGAGAAGGTCATTCCTCCTTCTCTGTTAAGATCCTCTGCCTGGGAGAAGCCTTATTTCCAGGAGTCAAAGGCCCTTTGTGAAGGGGCTGGAGGGAAACTCAGGTGCTATTTAATAAGCAGGTGCAGCTGATTGTGTGTGGTTAAAGTACAATCCTGCATTTATTTTTTTGTCAGTGCTGTTTATAACCTGCTTCCGGCCTGGACAAGTTGTTTTGACCCTGCCGCCCTGGCTCATTGAGGCCACTTAACATTGTTTACCTTTTGTGGGGAGGGGAGACTCAGGATCTGCTGATCAAGTGCTTTTGGAAGCTCTGTAAATAGAATGCACTCCAGTGAAACCTACGCCTGCACACAGCGGCCAGCCCAGCCCTGTCGATGGGTCTCAGCTGCTGGCTCTGGCAAAGACCCGAGGAGAGCGGAACTGCAGGAGGGAGGGGCTTACAGCTGCCGAGGCCCCCTATATCAGGGCACCACGGGCGTGGCGACACCTCCAAGCAGCAGCTCCTGGCCCTGGCTCACCTGGCTGGACTGCGGAGATGCCCCCTGCCACCCACATGGCAGACCCGAGTGAAGCTCCTGGCCCCTGGCTTTGGCCTGGCCCAGTCCTGGCTATAGTGCACATTTAAGGAGTGAACCCACGGATGGAAGAGCTCCCTCTCTCTCTGCCTCTCTCTGTTGCTCTGTCTTTCAAATAAATAAATGTTTGTTTTTAAAGAACAAGAGTTATCTGGGAATATTCTAAAAATTTTTTTTCTTGAAGATTTATTTATTTGCAATTACAGAGAGAAGCAGAGAGAGATTTTTCATCTGCTGGTTCACTCCCCAAATGACCACAAGGACTGGGGCTGGACCAGGCTGAAGCTAGAAGCCAGGAGCTTCACTTGGGTCTCCCAGGTGGGTGCAGGGGCCCAAGTACTTGGGCCATTTTCCACTGCTTCCCCAGGCTTATTAGCAGGGAGCTGGATAGGAAGTAGAGAGGCCAGCACTTGAACTGGTGCTCATATGGGACACCAGCATCCGCAGGTGGTGGCTTAACCCACTGTGCCACAGCACTGGCCCTAGGGGCAGATTAAAAAAAAATTCTAATGCCAGACTGCAACCCAGAGCAGTTACGCTGGGTAGGGTCTGACACTGTTAGTTTTTAAAGCTCCCCAGGAGACCCCACGTGAGCTGAGGATTGAGAGGTTATTCTTTTTCTTTTTTTAATTTTTGACAGAGTGGACAGTGAGAGAGAGAAACAGAGAGAAAGGTCTTCCTTTTGCCGTTGGTTCACCCTCCAACGGCCGCTGCAGCAGGTGTGCTGCAGCCGGCGCATTGTGCTGATCTGAAGGCAGGAGCCAGGTGCTTCTCCTGGTCTCCCATGGGGTGCAGGGCCCAAGAACTTGGGCCATCCTCTACTGCACTTCCTGGGCCATAGCAGAGGGCTGGCCTGGAAGAGGGGCAACCAGGACAGAATCCGGTGCCCCGACCGGGACTAGAACCCGGTGTGCCGGCACTGCAGACGGAGGACTAGCCTATTGAGCCACGGCGCCGGCTGAGAGGTTATTCTTAAAGGGAGATGCTGGCACGCTCTGAGCCACCTGCAGCCTTGTGTGCCACTGGGGAATAGCTGTCACTCTTCTGTGGCAGAACTGCAAGATGCCAAGGAGTCCTGAATGCGGTGAGCGCACCTCAGCTGTTCTCAGAGTCCTGTGTTCTAGTGCTGCATGCACTTGACCATGTGTCACCGTGTATGTGTGTGTGTGTGTGGTGGGGGGTTGTGCACTGTAGGTTGTGTATTATGGTCTGCTGTATGCCAGAATGTAACGTCCTGGAAATAACTAACAAGGGTCATCTCGGAGACTTTAAACCTAGGAGCGAAGGTCACCAACCAGAGTGTATCGGGGTCACGCACCACGTTGTCCTGTGCACTTATCTCCTCCCCGGCCCATGTGTAATTTTTCCAGCGTCCACTGAAGCCACCATGGGGTTCTGCATAGGGTTTGGTTTGGGAGAAGTTGTGTACGATGCACCTGCGTGTGGGTAGCCTTTCTCAGGTCTGTTCTCCCGTGGGTTGCGTTAGCGGTCTTTGAGGCACTCCTCCGGGGGTGGGCTGCGAGCTGCGTCCCCCCTGTACTTGAGCTGTTCAGGCCGTTCCCCAGCTGGGTCCACTGCAGACGTGTGCTTGTGGGTGCAGCTGCCATTCCCATTTTGGGGTGGGGAAGCGGTCATGGGAGTGGGCAGCTTGGATGTTGTCATTGTCGAGAGGACATTGAAGTGTCCTTGAGCCCTCAGCAGTCATGACCGGCTCTCCATGGGTCCAGAGTCTTGGCAATGGCACTGTGGGGTGGGCCTTTTGACTGTGGCTCCAGCCCTTAGACAGCCTCTTCAGCAACTCTGTGAGCACATGCTTTTGTGCCCATCTTACAGATAAAGAAACTGAGGCTTGGAGAGAGGTGACAGCCCATCAGTGACCAAGCCAGCATTGTACACTTGCTGCTTCTCCCCCAAGCCTTCTTGGAAATGATTGTATAGACGAGGAAGTGGAGGTCTGATGAGGACAAGCAGCCTGCCCCAGATGATGACCTGGCCTCTAATGCAGACATAGCTGTGGCGGGAACTTGCGTGCTCCTTCTGCTGCACTGTCTGCCATGCCTGGCTGCCGTGGAGGCGGGCCCGGAGGGACGCGCCCCCTGCCACCTGTCATGTGGTTCGGGCACCCTCAGTGTTGCATTGGCATAGAAGGAGGAACCAAGCTCTTTACATTTTTTTTAAAGGATTTATTTATTTATCTGAAAGTCAGAGTTACAGAGTGAGAGGGAAAGACGGAGACAGAGATCTTCGATCTGCTGGTTTATTCCTCAGATGGCCTCAATGGCCAGATCTGGGCCGGTCTGAAGCCCGGAGCCAGGAGTTTCTTCTGCATCTCCCCTGTGGGTGCAGGGGCCCAAGCACTTGGGTCATCTTTCACTGCTTTCCTAGGAGCATCAGCAGGGAGCTGGATGGGAAGTAGGGCAGCCGGGACTCGAACCGGCGCCCAGACATCAGCTTTACCCACTCCACCACAGTGCCGGCCCCTAGTTCTTTACTCTTGGCCTCTCCTGCCAGGCGGTGCCATTTTAAGAAGAACGTGGCAGCAGAAGAAGTTACTTGGAGAGCCACATCTCAGGCAGAAGGCAGGGATCTGTGGGTGCATCAGAGCTGAGAATGCTCAGGCAGCCCCCCTGTTCCTCCCATGTTGGTTGGAGGAATCTGGCTGCACCTCCCGTACACTCCCACTTGGGTCTGCTCAGGCTACCCGGCAGCCGCCTGCCGCTCAGCTCTGCCTCCATTTATGGAGGGAAAGGGCCTCAGGAATGTGCCTTGGGATGTGTCAGGGAGTCCGCTACACTTGAAATAGAAGAGCACAGCCCCCAAAGAGGGCCCCAGTCCGCTCCCCGCCAGCTCTCTCCTCAAGGAGGGAACGTTTAATTTGAGCAGGATTGCGCTTCGGTTGCTTTTATTTGTTTTTGTCTGAGTCGGTGCCAAGAATTCAACTTCTCCTGCTCATTTTATTAAAAACTTTATAAACAACATTAATAAATAGATATAAACCCGCCACATAGATGACAAACAGAGGGGCTTGCTGAAATTCACAAGGGCCAGCCGTTGAGCAGATACCAAAAAAAGCCATGTCCTTGCAGGATCCAATTGCCATATATGCAAATTAGGGACAGTGCTTTACCGCAGAGTGTTTTAATTAATATTTATAAATCACAGAGCACCCCTGGAAGGGTCGGTACGCTATGTCTATTTTTATCATGTCACACGTTAAAAGAAACCCTTTGGAGATTGCTGCCTGTTTTGCATTTTGGTCTGAGAAGTAAGCGGACGTGTTGTGTGTGTCTCTGTCCTCTGTAGGTGTGGTGGCTGCACAGCGCCAGGTCACCGTCCAGGAGGGGCCCCTGTACCGCACGGAGGGCTCCCACATCACCATCTGGTGCAACGTGAGTGGCTACCAGGGACCTGCTGAGCAGAATTTCCAGTGGTCCATTTACCTGCCCTCCGCCCCAGAGCGAGAGGTGCAGATCGTCAGCACCGTGGACTCCTCCTTCCCTTACGCCATCTACACCCAGCGCGTCCGGGGCGGGAAGATCTACGTGGAGCGAGTCCAGGGCAACGCGGCTTTATTGCACATCACGGATCTCCAGGCCCGGGATGCCGGGGAGTACGAGTGCCACACGCCCAACACGGATGAGCGGTACTTTGGGAGTTACAGCGCGAAGATGAACCTCGTGGGTAAGCGGACACTGTCTTCACGTGGCTGCTGGCTGGCCCGTGCTGCTGCTTTGACAGCGCAGCTTGGTTTTATATCATGCATTTGACTTATTAAAAAAAAAAATCACCAAACGCCCCGAACATTTTAGGGATGAGCAGCAGAAGCAAGTAAAATGTCTGTGCACTCGTGCACAATAGAAGTTGGAGGCTGAAACATTACCAAGATCTAGTGCAGATGTCTGCTTTCAGAGGGCTAAGTTGCCCCCTCACTGGGGGAGACGGATGTGAAGGTACAAGGCCAGGAGAACTTGAGGTCGACCGGAAGTGATGACAGGGAGGACAAAGTGTATGACCTCGTCCCCAGAAGAGGGGTTTCTCAGTCCGTGCCCTGGGAAGATTTGCTGGGACAAAGGGACAGGCGACAGAGTAGTAGGGGAAAAGATAACACATGGTTATCAGCAGCAGGCACAGTCTCAGGGGACCCCGTGAGTCCAGATGCTCATGGACTCTGTTCGCAGGGGTCGGGGACAGGAGGAGTGAGGCAGTTTTGAAGGAATTGTAAGTGAATGTATAGGCCCAGCCCTAAGACAACAGTGAGTGAATGATTCCCTTCGGGAGTGGAGTGGGTGTAGCAGCGGGACAATAGCTTGTGACAGTCTGACGAGGTGTGGCCTTTCTACAGATAGGAGTCTGGTAAATGCAAACTCCGGGGAGGGCCAAAGGGCACTGTTTTCTTCTCTGGCCTCTGGTCTTGGGGCAGGTCAAGGAGCATCAGGCATTTGCTGCTGTCCATGGGCATTTGACTTGAAATAGCACGCCACGGCTCCATGTTTCCCTCCCTCGCCCTGAGGACTGATGAGCTTTGCATCAGGCTTTGAGACACATGGGCGCTGCTGAGTCGGCAAGTGAATGTGGCCGTGGGTCCTTGCTCAGAGCTTGAGTTGGGTGCCCTGCAGGTCCTCTAGCTCCAAGAGAAGAAGCGGCACACTGGCTGTCTCGGTGCCCCTCGAACGATGGAGGGGTGGGCAGGTCTCGGTGTGGACAGCACTGGCCGCGGAGCTAACAACTGCCAATTTCTTTTTTTTTTTTTTTTTTTTTTTGACAGGCAGAGTGGATAGTGAGAGAGAGAGACGCAGAGAGAGAAAGGTCTTCCTTTGCCGTTGGTTCACCCTCCAATGGCCGCCGCTGCAGCCGGCGCACCGCGCTGATCCTGGCAGGAGCCAGGAGCCAGGTGCTTTTCCTGGTCTCCCATGGGGTGCAGGGCCCAAGCACCTGGGCCATCCTCCACTGCACTCCCTGGCCATAGCAGAGAGCTGGCCTGGAAGAGGGGCAACCGGGACAGAATCCGGCGCCCCAACCGGGATTAGAACCCGGTGTGCCGGCGCCGCAAGGTGGAGGATTAGCCTATTGAGCCACGGCGCCGGCTCAATTCTTTTATTAACCCTCCCAAGCTGTCCTCTGTTTCGCTTTCCTAAGTTGTGTCCCCGTGGGAGGTCTTTAAGACCCAATCCTGGGATGGCAACAGAAGACACATACTTGTTGGGGTGGGGGTGCCCTCACCAGAAAGGGAGCTGGGGATGTGCAGTCCTCAGCAGGATGTGAAGGTCAGGGTCAGAGTCTCACCCAGGAAGCACAGGGGAAAGCGATAGATTTGCCCAAGTCATGCCCATGCTGTGGTCCCCTTCTGTGTGGACCACTTGGATCCATGCATGATGCGAAAATTGAACTTCCCGAAAGGAGAGGGTGACGATGGATTTCTCCACCAATTCTGTTTTATAAGGAGCCTTGCAAGGGCTATGCCTTGCTGCAGTAGGGGTGAGGAATGGTTGGGGTGGGGGAGTGCAGGGAGAAAGTGAGCAAGTCCTGGGGAGCTGTAGAACGCAGACTCCAGGAGCCTTTTCCATCCAACGTGAGTCAGATGTGCACGGAATCTCTCAGAGCAGTACCTGGTTCGACAGCTCATCGCTGTATTTTCAGGGGGTTCATTTCATATGCAAAATGAAATACTCTTACAACCCAGGTTTTATCTCAAATGGGTGAGTAGCAGTACCCCCAAAATGCATTCCATTTCCAAGCCAAAGCTGTGTCACTGCCAGGGAAGGGGGAGCTCAGCCCCGCCCCCGTCCCCCCTCCCTGTGGGGTCTGAGAGTCTGTGGCTCTGTGGTCTGACGCTCCGGGGCCTTTCTGTGTGTTGCAGTGATCCCCGACTCCCTGCAGGCCACCGCCGTGCCCCAGACCCTGCACAAGGTGGAGCAGGACCCGCTGGAGCTCAGCTGTGAGGTGGCCACGGACACGTTCCAGCACAGCCACTTGTCTGTGGCCTGGCTCCGGCAGCGAGGCGGCGAGAAGCCCGTGGAGGTCATCGCGCTGAGCCGGGACTTCGTGCTGCACTCCAGCAGCGAGTACGCCCAGCGGCAGAGCCTGGGCGAGGTGCGCCTGGACAAGCTGGGCCCGGCCACCTTCCGCCTCACCATCTTCCACCTGCAGCCTTCCGACCAGGGCGAGTTCTACTGCGAGGCTGCCGAGTGGATCCAGGATCCGGACGGGTCGTGGTATGCCATGACCCGGAAGCGCTCCGAGGGCGCCGTGGTCAACGTCCAGCCCACTGGTCAGTCTCCCTGAGCCGCTTGTCCCTGTTCTTGGCCTGATGGGGAGGGTTGTCAGACACGGGGACACCTTCTTTGGTGACAGAACAACAGGTTTTCACGTGACATTGGGAAGGGGCTGCCCGTGGCCGGAGGATGAGGCGGGAAGTCCAGGACCCAGGTCTTGCCCAGACTGAATCGCGCTTAGTATTTGGTGTGTGTTTGATCCTTGTGGTGGTGCGGTTTCTGGAATTGGGAATTCATTGTAAAAATCGGGAGATCTCACAGAAACTGTTTGGCTCTCTGGGTTCCTGTTCCCGTGGGTCACAGTTGCCTTCTTAGGTACCAATAGGTTTGCTTCAGAGCAGACAATTTTTTTTTTAAAGATTTGTTTATTTATTTGGAAGGCAGAGTTAGAGAGAGGGAAAGACACACACACACACACACACACACACAGAGAGAGAGAGAGAGAGAGAGAGAGAGAGAGGTTTTTCATCCACTGGTTCACTCCCCAAATGGCTGCAATGGTCGGAGCTGTGCCGATCCGAAGCCAGGAGCCAGGAGCTTCCTCTGGGTCTCTCACACGGGTGCAGGCGCCCAAGCACTTGGGCCATCTTCTACTGCTTTCCCAGGCCACAACAGAGAGCTGGATTGGAAGTGGAGCAGCCGGGTTTCGAACCGGCGCCCATATTGCGTTACAGCGCCAGCCCCATTTTATAGGTGAAGGTGCTGAGTGCAAAGAGCTTCGTGTTGGGGCCCCAGTAAGGGTCATGGAACGTGTTGATGAGGATGGTCTAGGGGCCGCTGTGTCCACCACAGCTGTTTTCTCTGGAAGAGCTGGAAGGGGTCCCGGAGAAGGCTGAGTGTTTAGCGCTGGGGCAGCTAATGGTGGCAGGATGAGCTGAACTCCTCCCTGGCGCTCCCAGTGTGGCCCTGCGTCACAGACCCCACCCTCCAGGCTGCCGAGCCCACCAGACACTGGGTCAGAACCCAGACTCCAGCTGGGAGCTGACAACTGTGTGGGCTGCTCTGGCAGGTGAGGGCGGGCTCTCAGCTAGCCTTCTTGCCCCCAGCTCTGGCTGGGGCTGCCGTCACTGGGTTGTGGTGGGTGGGCTGTGGTCTTCCCTTGTGTTGATGCTCACGTCAGGTGAGGGCTGGGGGGGTCCTGTTGGGGGGGTGGAAGTGAGTTTGTAGTGGTGCAGGTGGAGTCCCCCGTGGATCCCTATGCACTGTTGCCTACAGTCAGCTGTCGTGGGCTTAGTTCTGTCACGCTAGACCAGTGAGTGCTTCGGCCTCACCTAACAATACTCACCCCTGAGCCTTATCCCAGAGGTCACAAAGCCCAGGCCCCGGGGTGGATCGGGAAGCTGTGTTCCCAGTGCAGTGCCCAGGTGACCCTTTTGCTGTCTATACTTCACCCCCATGGTTATAGAGGGACTGGGGCAGAGAGATTCTCTGGGTATCTGATAGACGTGAGGGCTGTAGCCAGAGGGTGCCCCTGATCTGCCCTGTAGGACCCAGAGCGTTCCATGGCCTCTGGATCTGCCAACGTTAAGGATTCTGTCAAAGGGCCTGTCTTATTTATCCTTTCCCTTCCCTAAGATCAGCTTCCAACGTCTGGACCAAGTTTTGAGTCTTCACACTTTTAGATTAGGCTGCATCAGTTAATCTTCTTTATTTTAATCTTACCAATTTGGAATTAGGACTTTTGGAATTTGCCCGGCAAATGTATGCAGACTAAGCCGACCAGGGGAAAACTAAAGGAAAAACAAAATGTCCATGACGTCACTCTGTGAGGCTCTGTGAGTTCTTCAGGCTCAGTGACTGCAGCTCCAACTCTGCCCTTCTCCCAGTCTGCACCAATAAATGCTCCGCCATCTCCCCTAGCATCGTGGCCATAGGCATTAGGGGCTCCGCAGGTGAATGCTGGTCCTGCCTTCGGGATACTTACAGACCTGAGAACCAGGGCCCAGCAGAATGTGCCACGTGCTGTGACAGTGTCTGTGGAGAGCCTTCTGGAAACACAGGAAGTGTGACGTGTTCTTGCAGCTAGTGTTCAGTGTCCACTGGATGAAGCTGCGAAGGCACACCCAGGAAAAGCAGGGCATTTGGTGACTTGGGCTGGGTCTTGATGCTTAAGGGGGCCCGCAGGAGGAAAAGCACAAAGGACAGAGTGGTGAGTAGAGAAAGTCCGGTGGCACGCTGATGGGTCTGACAGGAAGTGAGGCGAGGAGGGAGGAGAGGTAGCCCGAAGCCTCAAATGCTCTGACACGGAGCTTGGACTTGACTCTGGACTCACAGCTTTCAAGTTCTTCTGGTTGGAACTTTGGGAATTTCTTGGAGGGGCCCAAAAAGTGCACACAGGTGTGTGTGTGTGTGTGTGTGTGTGTGCATGTTCATACACACACTTGTGTGGTAAGGGTGTGTGCGAAGGCCGGTGGGGGCTTGAGTGTTCCCCTCTTACTTACTTCAGCTGAATGTTTCCTACGTGAAGCAGCTGAGGATTTTGTAAGAAGAGGGGATGACCTCCTCCTCCTCCTCCTCCTCCATTTCCCAGTGAATTTTGAAAACCCTTGCTGCAGACAAGGTGGGGATGGGAGAAGTGGGCTAGGGACTGTCAAGCGGGGGTCACACAATCAGATCAGCGTTTTAGAAGGAAAAAGCCAGGGAGGCCACCTGGAGGTTGAGTCAGCAGGTTGTGTGTGAAGTCGAGAGACAAGGTTGGCAGGAGCTGGGCCGGGGCAGCACCCTGGGAGGAGGCAGTGAAGGGATGGACGGAGGGAGGCACATCGGCTGGAAGCCCTGGGCCCAGGGCTCCCGTGGCTCCTTGAACGGTCCTAAGGACATGCCGAGCCCTGCTTGGAAGTCTCTGCCTCTCCACTGGAACCCGTGCCTACCATCTTTTCTTTGGTTTTTGTGATTGTGAGTCAAGGGCTACATCTTGCAAGCCAGCTTACAGAGATGCTCAGGTGGGAAACACCCAGTGGGCAGTCGGACTTCTGGAAACAGAGCTGGGCTACACACTGATCGTGGAGTGATGAAGGCCCAGGAAAGCCCCTGGGGTAGAAATAGGAATGGTTCCAGGGCAGCAGCAGCAGTAAGACGTGGTCAGGGGAGCAGAGGGAGGGGCAGTACGGCCAGGCAAGCCCAAGGAGAGGAGGGAACGCACGGTTGGGCGATGGAGGGGTCCAGAGGCTGAAGCCTGCTTGAGAGGAGCCCTCGGCTGTGGGGGAGGCAGCGTGGACCACTGGTGGCATTCCTTGGCTCTGTGGTGGGTGTTTGGGAAGGGCAGGAAGCCACATTTCAGGGAGCTAGCGAGTGAAGCATATTGGAAAAAGCCTAAATCAATTTCTAGAGAATTAATTGACTGGGCATATCCAAAAGCAGATTGCTCTGCAGAAAGGGGATTGGTGGGCTGTAAATCTTGTGCCTTCAACCTGGGAGTGCCGAGCCTTCACCAAAGCCACTGGGGAGATGCCAGAAGGGGTAAGAAGAGCCTAACACTGCCAAAAGAAGCAACCTGCCCGCAGGTGCGCAGCCTCACCCGGAGCCCGTGGAAAACTCCGAGGTCCCTCGTCCACCTCGCACAACCTCGGTGGCATTCAGGCACAAGGAGTACTTTTCTGGCATTGAGGTCTGCTTGTGACTGACTTTGCTTGACCACACGGCCGGTGTCCGGCAGATGCCACGGGGTACAGTTGCCTATAAGGAGGGCATTGGGCTGAAACCTGTATCTTCCAGTCCCATCTCCTGGGACTGGGGTCTTGGAGGGGGGAAGCCGCTGCAGCAGGTGACACTTGGGAGGTGAGCCCTGGAGGGGTCGAGTGTGGTTTGCAGGATGCAGGAAGGAGCTGGGATGTTGGAGAACCAGGGGTCGCACAGCCCAGCTGGCAGGGAGGAGGAGTGCGAGGGCAGCCTCTCGTGGTCCCCGGTTTTCTCAGGGCAGCAGTGTCGGCTCTCATCTGTGAGGTGGGAAGGCAGTGCCACGCTGGGAAGGCAGCCGAGGCTAGAGCTAATGCGTCTACAAGGCCCTCCTTGTACTGTGAATTTCCTCTCAATGTTCTCTGGAGGGGAATGCAGGGAGAGCAGGGGTTTGGGCAGCGGCCACAGCCGCAGCCTCCGCTGGCTGGGGTGCTGTGATTCTGCTTCCTGGGACCTAGGGTTTCTTCCAACTCGGACTCCTTTTTCTCGGCCCCTGTTTCTGCAGTGGGTGCCTGGGAGATCTGAGAACTGTCTCAGGGGATTGATGGCCACTGGTGCTGTACACGGCGTGCTGTGATGCTGTCCGTGGCGACAAGCCCTTCTCTGATCACCCATGGTGCCAGGTTAAACAGCCAGCTCTTTGAAGGGTGCTCCGGCACTTGACGGTGTCAGTGGTGGTCTGGCTTTCAGTGGCAGTGGGTACCTTCCCACTCCTTCTGCCTAAAGATTTGGTGTGACAAAGCTAGGGAACAGACGTTAGTTTCCCTGTCTCTTGTGTAGTATTTCCAGGATTCACATGAGGGCGAGTAGACCATTTCCACGTGTTCATCTTTCTGCATTTAGCAGGATTAGCATCAGTATATGGACTGCCCTGTAATTTTGTCTCACAGACCTCAGTGGGCTAGGTCCTACAGGCTTAAGTGGGGTCCTGGGTGTGTATTTGAAGGCTACACCTGCCCCCTGGGCACCCAGCCTGGGGCAGAGTGAGCTTCAGCAGAGCCCTGTTGGTCTCCACTGGGATTGAAAGTTGCCCAGACTTGGGGGCTGGTGAGATGCTCTTGGGTACCCCCAAGGTGTCTGTGGGGCTGGGTTGGGTGAAGCTGCGTGTGCTTAGCCATGGGACGGCGGGGGAGGGCAGCCGCGATTGGCTGGCACGGTCTAGCTCGCCTGGGTCCTTCTTCACCCAGAACACATGTGCCACGGTGTTTGTTTTCTCAGACAAAGATTTCACCGTCCGCCTGGAAACGGACAAGCGGCTGCACACGGTGGGCGAGCCCGTGGAGTTCAGGTGCATCCTGGAGGCCCAGAACATCCCAGACCGGTACTTTGCTGTCTCCTGGGCCTTCAACAGCTCGCTCATCGCCAGCATGGGGCCCAACGCCGTGCCGGTCCTCAACAGCGAGTTCGCCCACCGGGAAGCCAGGGGACAGCTGAAGGTGGCCAAAGAGAGCGACAGCGTGTTTGTGCTGAAGATCTACCACCTGCGGCAGGAGGACAGCGGGAAGTACAACTGTCGGGTGACCGAGCGGGAGAAGACCGTCACTGGGGAGTTCATCGACAAGGAGAGCAAGCGCCCCAAGAACATACCCATCATCGTCCTCCCCCTCAGTAAGTAGGTCGCCGTGCCCCTCGCGCCTCCTCCCGCGGGCCCTGGTCAGTAGCCAGCCTAGAATGGCTGCGGTGGGTGACGAGCAGAGCCTGGCTGCCTCACCCCCCACCCCAGGTAGGCAGACTCCACTCCTCCCCCACCCTGGGGCTAGGGGGATGGGCATCGGCTGCTCCTAGCTCCAGGAACTCTGTCAGGGCCCAGAGAGCCAGCTCAGCATGGAGGGAAACCAGGCACCCAGCAAGGCTGCTTGCTCCTGTGTGGGGACTGAGCCCCGGGAGAGGTGGGTACATGCCAGTCGTGAAATCCCACTTGAGCAGAGCGGCTCTCTTTCGGAAGGGTTGTCTTCAAGAAGAAGGATTCGCCGTCAGTTTTCCCGGGTGCGAAGGTGGGCCTGTCCCCAGTTTTCTCTTCCCTGCCGCAATTTGGGTTTTCGAAAGTCGGTGGTGGGGTTCCTCACGTCTCCCCGCAGGAGGCGTGGCCGGTGTCCCAGGCTGCATCGGTGGGCTCCCCGCCACCACAGAAGGAGCGCTGGCAGGGTGGGTTGTGCCCATGGCTGGGGGTTCCTCGTGTCGTGTTTAAGCATCCGTAGAAATCAGGGTGTTCTTACTAATCTCCTTTCTCTCCTGGTTCTGTTCTTAGTGAAGAGAATAGCAACTTACTCTGATTTTAAGCAAGACGATGAAAGTTTGAAAACTAACCGTTCACTTCCTCTCAGCTGCTCTTACTGTTCTTCCTTTTAGCCTTGGAATGACTTCCTTCACTTGACTCACACTTGGACGTATTTGCAAAATTTTTCTTCCAGTGTGAAATCAAAAGTAGACACAGAGATCGTGCCCGCTCTTTTCCTCTTCATCAACAGGATTATTTTCTGTCCCGCTTATTATTATTAATTTTGAAAACCACAGACACTCGCACACCTAATTACCTCGAAGTTCTTTTGTTCCCTAGACCTTTTTTATTCTCCTGCACTGCCTAGCATGGTGCCTTGCATAGAATAGGTGCTTGCTGAGTATTTGTGCGATCAATAGCATTGAATGGAATGCCACTCTGTACTGTCTCCCTGTTGGCCTGCGCTTGCCTCCATCACGGACTGTCTCCTTTCAAATCTGCCACTAATTCCTCCGTGTTGTGTCAGGATGCCGCGAAGGGCAGCCACACTGTGACTTTCTGTGTCGTGTGTACTAAGAGATAGCATCCCCAGCCCCTGCCAAGAATGTGTTTGATGATTTGTGGCCTGCTGTATTGCTTTTCCAGCAGATAACTGGGTAGTTAAAGTCCCCCAGCACCACCAGATCCTGCCCCAAGGCCACGTGGGTAAGTCTGCCAGAGAACACCGACAATGACAATGACATTGGGAATGGTGATGATGCCTTGAATTGGAGTGGCGCTTATCCTCCCGAGAGCCCAAGGTGCTTCTGCAGATGTCATCTCCTTTTCTGCTCCCGCCTCCCCAGTCCCTGCAGAGGACACTCTATGCCCAGCCTGGGGATAAGGAAGGCAGAGCCTCCGCCAGGGAGGGGGCCCAGCCGGCTGTTCGTTCAGTTAGTGGCATAGCTTACACTGCATCAGAAATGTTTGCTTCTAACTCCAGACCCCACTGCTCTGCGCTTAGCCTGTGCTACGCCGTCCACCTCCTGATGGGAAATTCCATTTCTGAACATGCGTTCAGATTCTCATTAGTTCTGTCCTGGTTTTCACTTAATCCTGAGAGTTTTTTCAATGGCGGGCAGCCTTTTCTCAGGCCCGGAAACCCTTGTCACGTAGTCTCAGTGGGCGCTGCAGCAGGTCTGTGTTTGTCTTTGCCTTGGCTGCCACGTTGGCTTTTCTTCTCGTAGCTCCACATTCTAACTGTGGGGTTTTTCCAGGCTTGCTCAAGCAACAGGGCCCCAAACAGCAGCCCTTATAGCCAGCAAGCCAGGGCTTGTGTTCGAGCCTGCTGGGGTGCCAGTAAGGACTAGCAGGAACTCACTATAAGTCATTTTTCTGCCTAAGATAAGCAAAAGGGTTTTCTCCCTTGATGTCCGAGTGGCCCTTTTAATCTCTTACCTTGAGTTGGTTTCAGTGGGGATGAATCTTTACCAAACTAAAGAGGAATATTGCTGTCATTCATGTGGATGAAAAATAATTGCCTCATTTAATCCTTGCAGTGTCCTGACTACTAAGCAGGAGACGCTGCTTGTGTCTTCCCCTGTGCCCTGGAGAAAGTGGAGGTGGGGTGGGTTAGGGCACAAGCACAGGTCGCAGAGCTAGGGATAGGCAGGCGGGGCCCTGGAGCCCAGGTCTACGCCTCTCCAGATCCTGGCTTTTGAGCAGTAGTGCTGTAGGAGATGGCTGCTCAGGACACAGGTAGCGCTTCTCGGGGAGCGGCTTCTGGACCAGTGCTGTCTTCCCCCCTCACCCAGTCCAGGCCTTTTTAAATTAAATTTTATTTTAATGTGAAGTAAAGCAGCTCCAGAATGGGCAGCTGGCGTCCTCACTGTGACAGAGCTTAAAGCTGAGGCCCCCATGTTCATCTTCCTCTGTGTCGCCTGTGGGGGAAATAAAAGGGGAGGCAAGCTGATTGGAACGCTTTGTCGTGCATATGGGGGTTCCCTTTGGTAATCAGGTGTGCCTGTTAATCTGGGGTTTGATTTAATTGATTGGCTTGAGATTATTGTATGTGTTTCATGTGGGTGGTGCCCAGAGAATTGGGGTCAAATTTGTTATGGTGCTTTGTGTTCTTAAATGTTTACAGGCCTTTTGAACTCCACACAGGTAATTCAGAATAGTATATGCATAATGAAGGTAGATCGGGCTGTGTAGTGTGTTTATAGAAATGCAGCCTGGGAATAGGAAAATGCATCGTGATCCTGCTGCTCGGTTCTTGAAAACCTACTTAGTGTTAGGCAGTCTGTCTATGTTGCCTTGTTTATTTCTCAGTTTTTTCTTTTTTTAAAAAAAGATTTATTTATTTATTTGAGAGGCAGAGTTACAGAGACAGAGAGAGGTCTTCCATCTGCTGGTTCACTCCCCAAATGGCCACAATGCCGAAGCCGAGCCTTCTGAAGCCAGAAGCCAGGAGCTTCTTCTGGGTCTCCCACATGAGTGCAGGGGCCCAAGCATTTGGGCCATCTTCTACTGCTTTCCCAGACCATTAGCAGGGATCAGAAGAGGAGCAGCCAGGACACGAACCAGTGCCCATATGGGATGCCGGCACTGCAGGCAGAGGCTAAACCTACTGTGCCACAGTGCCAGCCCATACTCTTCAGTCTTTAAAATACTAAGCATGTAAAGAAGGTAGCACTCTACCTATCTTATAGAAGAAGAAACTGAGGCAGGTAGAGTTTAAATAATTGGATCGAGTGAGTTCAGCTAGCTGAGTAGCAAAGGCTGGACTGAGGCAGGGACGGGAGCAAAAGCCTTACCCCAGCTTTGATTGGCAGAAAGTCTCAAGGTAGAGGGCAAAGGAACCCCAGGGCTGAATGTGGACGGGCCGGAGACTGGTGAGTGCCAAACCACACTGGCTTTGGTTTATTGCTCTGTTACTGAAGGCAGGAATGTTCCTCCGCCAAGCACTCTGACACTACACCACTGTGCTCCATTGTCACCCACATTCCAGCACCTGGGATCTTCCAAATTCTCCCTGGCGTTTGTCCTCCCTCCTGCTGTTGTCCTGGAGGACAAGGATGGCATGCTGCGGCTGTGCAGCTTTGCTGGACGGCTGCAGCCTTGGATGGTGGGAAAAGACAGAGGTGAAGGAGGATTTTGGAGTTAAATGTCTTGCTGAACATCCAAGCAGAAAGGCCCTGAGCAGGTTAACCTAATCAGTTGCTTCGTGCCCTAAGTGTCATGTCCTTGTGTTATGTTTCTTTGGTTCTGATTTGGTCTCAGGTCTTAGAACCTCTGCACACAGGAAAGAGCAGCCTAGGTCAGCAGATCTAAAATCCCAGGTGGCAATGTCCAGAACCAGCCAGGGCTTGCAGCTGCAAGCGTCAGGGTGTTCTTGATCCTCTGAGGCTCGCTGTACCTGGACACACTCCATTTACACCCATCCTCCTGTGCACCTGTGAGGCAGGTGCCATGGAGACCAGAAAGCCCGCAACATGGCCCTCTCTCCCTCCCCCGCAGAGAGCAGCATCTCCGTGGAGGTGGCCAGCAATGCCAGCGTCATCCTCGAGGGCGAGGACCTGCGCTTCCTCTGCAGCATCCGCACAGCGGGCAGGCCGCAGGGCCGCTTCTCCGTCATCTGGCAGCTCGTGGACAGGCAGAACCGGCGCAGCAACATCATGTGGCTAGACCGGGACGGCACCGTGCAGCCGGGCGCATCCTACTGGGAGCGCAGCAGCTTCGGGGGCGTCCAGATGGAGCAGGTGCAGCCCAACTCGTTCAGCTTGGGCATCTTCGACAGCAGGAAGGAGGACGAGGGCCAGTACGAGTGCCACGTGACTGAGTGGGTGCGGGCGGTGGACGGCGAGTGGCAGATCGTGGGGGAGCGCCGGGCCAGCACCCTGGTCTCCATCACGGCACTTGGTAAGTGACAGGTGGAACCTCCGTGGGCTCTGCTCCTGTGTCAGGCACCTTGCCCTGACTTTCAGCAAGCAGCCAGAGGTCTGGCCAGAAATGGGTGGACCTTCTGATGGGTGGAAGGGACTAGCAGTTGTTTGGGGGATGGAAGGTGAGGTGAAACCCGGGCCAACGACAGCTGGAACTGTTACTACACCCACCCGGCAGGGACATGTTGACTGCCTTGAAGACTGTCCCTGAAGACAAGCTATGGCTTGTCTCTTGCCCAGGGCCCCAGCCCTCCTCAAATGGGCAGAACAGGGCGGAGAGGGTAGGAACCCCCCCCCCCCATTTTTTTTTTTTTTTTAAGATTTTCTTATTTATTTGAAAGACAAAGTTACAGAAGAAGGCGAGACAGAAGAGAGAGATCTTCTACCCACTGTCTCACTCCCCAAATGGCCACAATAGTCAGGGCTGAGCCAGGCCAAAGGCAGGAGCCTGGAACTCCATCCAGGTCTTCCCTGTGGGTGAAGGGGTCCAAGCACTTGGGCCATCTTCCGCTGCTGTCTTAGGCACACTAGCAGGAAGCTGGACCCAAAGAGGAGCAGCCGAGACTCAGTCCAGTGCTCATATGGCATTGTTGGCATCTCAGGCAAGGGCCCAGGAAACCCCCTTTGCCGTTTGCATAGCATGTACTATGTTCCTGGCTCAGTCTAACCATTTAAACTGAATCGTCCCATTGCATCCTCACCTGCTGGGGGTGACAGAGTGGAACAGGCTAAATAATTTGCCCGAGGCTACAGCTTTTCAGTGACCAAGCCTCAGGAAGCCGGCACTCTGTCTTAGTTTTTTTCTCCTCCTCTCTAAGGCCCCTACTTAAGAAAGCCACTTCCTCATTAGCATGAAATTGAGATTTGCTAAGACTAAAGAATATTCGATTTGTTTCTCATGAGGTAGTTCAACAGGCTTCTGTCGACTTTTATCTGCCTAATAGAATCGGTCTGCTCCATTTAAAAGGCCGGGCAGCTACTTGGCTGGGAAGGGAGCTCACCCAGTCGGCTCTCCCTGCTTATCAGCAGACATGGCCTCCAGGGAGCTGCGTTTCCTGGTGATGGTCCTTAGCAGCTTCACATCCTGCTCCCAGAACGTGCCCCCCCTTCCTCACAGGTGTGAGTGGGTGGGCAGGGGGACTTCCTGCAGGGATGGGGTTTCTCCTGGAGCTGAGCTCCAGTGTGGCCCCGGGGAGAAGGAATGGGTGGAGAGGTCTGGGCGGCCAGTGTGAGTAGCTAGAGCTAGGCAGGGGTGTTTCTCCACAAGCAGTTTGGCAGGTGATGGGTGACTCTCTGTGTCTGGCAGTTCCTGCAGCCAGGGAGTGCTGCTCTGGGGTCTTGTGCCGCCTCCCAGCCTGGAGCACAAGCTAAAGCTGCAATCAGAGAGTGGACCAGGGGAGAGCTGGGGCGGGGCTGGGGTGGCATCCTGTACTAAGCCTGGCTTTTCAGTTTAAATGTGTTTTCATGTTGGTGCAGTTAAGTGCAGATCCCGTCTCAGGGAGGTGACAGTGACAAGGTGTGAGACACTGAGCAGGAACGTTGAGGCGGGGCAGCTCATGTGCCCCTGCCAGGCCCAGGCAGGGTCGTCTTTGTGGAGCAGCCCCCTCCCCATCAGCGGTGAGGCAGAGATGCCTGGCACAAATCCTGTCCCCCGAGGTCTCCTGGCGACACACACTGCACACAAGCGCCCAGTGCCCGTCACGGCCACCTCATGTTTATGCATGGGCCTCTGTGTCTTAGAAGACTTCAAAACAGTCTTTTTGACTTAAGGCATCCTTTCTGAAGGCTGCATAAAGATAGCTTAAGAAATCCAAGTCAAAGAGCTAGAGGTTTCAGCAAACCGTGCCTACCTGTTCAACATCCGCCTCCCCATAGAAAGATTCATTCTGGGCCCTGCCTTTTCCCTACGGAGTCTAAAGTGCTTTCCTTTGTGTCTGCTCGGTTTCATGTGCCCAGGGACTCTTGCAAGTGTGCTACAAATACGAATTCATTTAATCTTCAGGAGTACCCATTCTGTAGTTGGATAACTTGCTTCTCTCACAGCTAGGAAGTGGCCGAGCTGGGCAGCCGTCTCGAGTCTTTGCCGTCCTCACTGCCGCGCTGGTGAAGTTCCAGCCACTGGCATCGGGTCCCTGGAGGTTTGCAGCCTGCCTGCCATTCCCTAGCAGCTTGACACTGAGTCCTTCATTTAACCTCTCTGTGCCTCAGTTTACCCATCTGTGAAGAGGGCTGAGCACACGATTGTTTTTCCATGCATGCTTGCTGAGAACAAAGCAGTTGGCATCACGCCTGGCAGCTTCAATCGTGGTCAATCCCACAGGCTGCTGCTTTGTGATTGTAATCGACGTGTTGGTGTGGAGTGGTCTCTGCCGGCTGGCGGAGCTCCCAGGTGTTCCTCCTGAGCGCTTAGGATTAGCACGCCAGTCAGTGGCAAGGCTCAGCCCACTAGCACTGCAGAGCCCTGGGCTCAGAGCCATTGCCCCCACCTGCTAGAGAGCAGTCCCTCCCGCTGTGGTCCCCTGGTTGCCTCTGTGCCCTGGATTTCCTGAAGGAAGTGAAGGACTTGGAGGCTCCTCCCCCTGCTGCCCCCTGGAGCTAGCGACCAAAGCTGGGGCTGCATCCACCTGTATGCAGTCAAGGACGTTGGCTTCAGGGCTTGCTTCTCCAGTTTTTGGAATCATCTTTAAAAAAAAAAAAATTTATTTACTTGAAAGGCAAAGTGTCAGAGAGAGAAAGACACAGAGAGATCTTCCATCTGCTGGTCCACTTCCCAAATGGCTGCAACGGCCAGGGTGAAGCCAGGAGCCTAGAACTCCATCAGGGTCTCCCATATGGGCGGCAGGGGCCCAGCGACTTGGGCCATCTTAGGTTGCTTTCGCAGGCGCGTTAGCAGGGAGCTGGATAGGAAGGCGAGCAGCTGGGCCTGGAACTGGTGCTTCGATGTGGGATGTGGTTGTCGTCAGTGGTGGCTTAACTGGCTGTACCACAGCGTTGGTGCCTGTGTGAAATTCTGAGTCCTAGGCACGGCCTTAGCCCCTGAGAGGGCAGTGATGTCTAATTCCAGAGGCGGATCGAACACAAAGGTCCACACGAGCATCTCATTGGAAAGGAATAGGGCTCGTGCTGCCCGGCAGGATGGCCATGGGCTGTTGGGACTGTGCCCGGGCGTGGTACCTAAAGAAACATGAGCCTGAGTGTGAGGTGTGAGGGCTCACGAGAGAGGCCCACAAGCCTCCGCTGTGTGCCACTGCCCTTGCCAGTAGCGCTCTTGCTGGCGTCGAGCTGCCCCGAGAGAGCCAAGTTCCCCTTTCGTTGAATCTCTCTGTTCTCTCTCCAGAGATGGGCTTTGCGGTCACAGCCATCTCCCGTACCCCGGGGGTGACCTACAGCGACTCCTTTGACTTGCAATGCATCATCAAACCCCACTACCCGGCCCGGGTGCCCGTGTCGGTGACTTGGCGCTTCCAGCCCGTGGGTACCGTTGAGTTCCACGACCTGGTGACCTTCACACGGGACGGAGGGGTCCAGTGGGGGGACAGGTCCTCCAGCTTCCGCACTCGGACTGCCATCGAGAAGGCCGAATCCAGCAACAACGTCCGGCTGAGCATCAGCAGGGCCAGTGACACGGAGGCGGGCAAGTACCAGTGCGTGGCAGAGCTGTGGCGGAGGAACTACAACAACACGTGGACGCGGCTGGCAGAGAGGACCTCCAACCTGCTGGAGATCCGGGTGCTGCAGCCAGGTGAGTGCTGCCGGCTCGAGGACCCCGTGTTGTACCATCGCAGCGCTGTGTGCAAGGCCGTGCGTTCACAGGAGGAGAAGGAGGAGGAGGAGGAGGAGGGAAGGAGATGTGTCTCAGTGCCGTGGCATGGCTTCTTCATTTCCCAGACCCTCGAGTTGGAGACGGTTCCAGTGATACAGAGATGCGTGCCAGGTTCCCTTTCCTTGATGGGACTTGTTGCTTTTGAATCATCTGAGAGTGAGTTTTGAGCATCAGGGTGCTTCTCCCTAAATATTTGAGGATGCTGTCCTAAGAGACCAGGGTACCATCATCATGGTCTGGACATTTAACATCTGTGTGGGTCTGTTACCAGCATCTCTCCAGTTGTCCTCATAATGCCTTTTATATATGTGTGTTTGTATATATATACACATATAAAATATACATGTGTGCATATATACATATATAAATTATACATGTGTATATATACATATATAAATATACATGTATAAAATATGTGTGTGTGTATGTATATGTGTATATATATATATATATATATATTTTTTTTTTTTCCCCTCCATACAAGCCAGTATCTGGTCAGGGACCTCCCATCACACTTAGTGGTCCAGTCTCGCTAGACTCCTGTAGGCTGCAGAAGCGCCCCGGGCTGTGTGTGTGTGTGTGAAGACGCTGACATTTACAAAGTGTGCAGAGAGCTCTGTCTTTTCACGGAAGCTCCTCGCTCTAGTCCTTGCGGCAGCTACATGGGAGAGGGATCCCACTGTGCGCTGTGTGCAGACCAGGAAGCTCGGGCAGCGCGGGGGCGGAGGGCAGAGGGAGACAAGGTCGCCTGCCGAACGCCTGCTCTGGGAGCTCCTGGGACGGCGCAGCCAGGACCTGACGCCCTGATCCGCTCCCACACGGTTTCCTCCACCTGGGCCCCGTCCCGCGGTGCCGAGCGCGAGTGCCTCTCCTGTAGAGGCCAGGGCTCTCTAAGTACTGAGCAGGGTGCGTGCATCTGGGGAGTGGTAGTCGGTGGGGCTCCCTGCAGATGGTACCCTTCAGGCTTCGCTCTGCATCTGTCCCTGTGAGCGGCTCCCGAGGTTGGAAGCTGGTAGAGGCGGGAGCGTGTTCTGTAGGCCCCTGCACCTCTCAGGTATGGGACGGATCAGTCACCCACAGGCTACGTGGTGAGGGTGGGGCCTGGCCAATATGTCTCTGTTTGACCTAGCTGCTTGGTGAAGCCAGTTTGAACACCCAGACAAAAGGGGGCTGTCTGCTCACCGCTGTGATTAGTGCCCAACCTGGGCCGCAGTGCTGTCAGTGATGTGAGGTTGAGTAATGATAATGGCTGAGTTTATCCTTCGCCTCTGCTGACCCCACAACCGAGTCCCAGGCTGTGCCCGATTTGGAACAAACAAGTGGTATGAAGGAAGAGACCGTTCCGTGGCCAATTAGAGCCTCAGCACGGCCTGACACGGCGCGGGCAGAAGGCTGTTCTGCTTAAGTGGATTTTCAGGTTAATGGCGGGTTAAGCAGAGAGCCCATTTTACGTGAACCCTTGTGGTGGAAAATGCTGGGGTACCCACTTGGCTGCCTTATTGAGTGGGACATTAGGACCCTAATTGGCCCTTTTGTCAGCTCCTGTGCCCCTCAGGGTCAGTGTTCTGAGTGACAGCGCCTGTCCCGTGGTTCTTTCTGCAAGCCGCAGAGAGTGGAGGGGCTGCTGACCCGAGGCCTTCCCTGCGTTGCTCCTGTGAATCCGTCCCTAATCTCCGCTTCTGCTACAACTTGGAATCCCAGACTGGAGTGCCCCGGGGAAGCAACTGGAGTTAGTTCATGGAAGGGTCTGACTATTTGGATTCTGATTCATTTGTGGTGGGATGAAGACATGAGAAGGACCTCTTCTGTGCCAGGCTTTGCAGCTTATTTATGTTCTCTTTTAAAAAGTCATTCGACAACCTAATGATGGAGTTGCTCGGGTCCCAGTTTTGCTCATGAGAAAACCAAGGCTCACCGTCGTTGGGGGCCTTGCTGTAGGCAGACCATCTGGTTTCATGACAAAACAGAGATTTTTTTTTTTTGACAGGCAGAGCGGACAGTGAGAAAGAGAGACAGAGAGAAAGGTCTTCCTTTTGCCGTTGGTTCACCCTCCAATGGCTGCCGCGGCAGGTGCGCTGCGGCTGGCGCACCGCGCTGATCTGATGGCAGGAGCCAGGTACTTATCCTGGTCTCCCATGGGGTGCAGGGCCCAAGCACTTGGGCCATCCTCCACTGCACTCCCGGGCCACAGCAGAGAGCTGGCCTGGAAGAGGGGCAACCGGGACAGAATCCGGCGCCCTGACCGGGACTAGAACCCAGGGTGTTGGCACCACAAGGCGGAGGATTAGCCTAGTGAGCCGCGGCGCCGGCCCAAAACAGAGATTTGAACGGCATGTGGAGCTCGCACCTCTCTGTGCTCCATATGTGTGCATTTCCGTTGCAGGTATTATTGTTTTCTGGGTAGAAGAAGTCACTGGAGAGTAACAAGACCCTGCACCTGCTCTGGGGGTCGGCTTAGGTCTTGTGTCATGTGCACTTTGAGTTGGTTTTGGTTGATGTTTTCACCATAAAGGGTGAGTGCATGGTGGCCGGCCTGGGAGACTTAGAAGCATCGTTGTACTTGGGCTGGGAGGAGGGCTCTGTTTAAGACGCTCGGTGATGTGCTTTCATGGCCCCTGGGAGGCTGCAAAGAGCAGAGGTGGGTGCTTGAGGCCATGGGTGACTCCCAGAAGCTGGCTGAGGCCTCAGAGAAAGTGCATCCCCTTAAGTGTTACTGCCTGCCTGCCATTAAATATTTATGCCTTTGGCACTTAATACTTTCCAGAGAGCCTCGTGTTTGCCCTCGTCTTACCCCTCCCGCACACTCTGGTTGGGGAAACAGAAGTGGGAACATCCAGGAGGACTGATCACGTGCTAGCGACGGTATTGGACTTGGCTGTGTGTGTATTAGGTCACTGCATCTCCGCTGCAGCCCTGGGAGGAAGCTATTGCTTTTCCATTTGCTAAATGAAGTCACAGAGGCCCGGAGAGGTTCTCACTGGTCCGAGTCAGACAGCGCGTGGGGAACCCAGGTGTGCCTGATTAAAAAGTAGTTGGGATGGGAAGAGGTTGCCTTTTATTTATTTATTTTTTTTTAGGGTGCCATAATCAGCAGTTACCCTTTCTGGATTCGGTTAGATTGTCGCTTGAGGAAGAGGCTTCCGGCAGGTCACGGATATAGAGCAAGCTCTAGAGTAGCTGCTGATGTTCACCGAGCACCGTCTGAGTGCTTGGCATGTGCTTACTTAGTTCTTCCTCACATCACCCACGCAGTAGCACAAGGGGTACTGTCTCTCCCATTTCACAGATGAGGCTGCTGACACATGGCTGAGAGGGATTGCCGATGGGTCCAGAATCAGTGCAGAGCCAGCATTCAGATCCAGGCAGGCCATCTTATTCCGGAGCACGAGCTCTTGGATTTGTGATGTTGCAGTATTTGGCAGCCCCTGGTTGGTTTTTCCCGGGAGTCCTTTGGTACCACGCACTTTTATCGGCTGTGCCCTGTCTCTGTGGTTTACCTTCCCTGATTTCCTGATCCCTTTTACTGAATCCTTAGATTTGTTTTCTAGAAGTCAGGATCACAAGACACAGTTTGCTAATGGCGTTGAAGTTTAATTTCTCCCACATTAAACTCCCCCGTTTCTTCTGACTTCTGCCACAAGGTGGCGACACCAGCATCAGGCTCCTTTCCTGATTCTCCCTGCCTCCCTTGTCCCTCAAAACATGGATTCCTCCCCTGCTCTTTCCTAGGAGTGTCCCCTGCCACTCCCTTTGAGAGACTGTTTTGTCATAGTCTAGCAGAATCAAGTAGAAAGCTGGGGACTGCGACTGACTCACACTGGTGCATTTAGCACCAGCTGTCTACTGCAGTGACGTCATCTCCCCCAGCAAGGCTGTGTGTGGTCTGTGCCACGGGCTCTCCCTGCCAGAGCCATCGGCAGATCCTGACCACGCCATGGGCATTGCACTCATCGGCATCTCTGGTTGGACGGCACGGTCTCCTCCTTGGGGCTCCGTGGTTGGCCCTCCCCCACACACGCTTCCGCTCCCATCCACAGTCCCCGAGCAGATCTTCTGGGAATGCCAGCACTCCCATTTGCTCATAGATTTAGCTGCATCTTACTCCTCATTGATCACACAGGGCGGCCCCCAGCTGGGGCGGACGGGCGAGACTTGTAGCCGGTGCAAGGACCTGTAGCCCAGTTCTTCGTTCCTCACCGTTCTTGTAGTCGCGAGGCATCCCCTTGCCTCCTCCTGCTTTTCTTAAGCTCCAAGAACACCCACTGATTACACATTCCTAAATACAGAAGCAATAAGGGAAATGTCAGCACTCGTTTTCCAAATGTTTACGGCCGTATCTTGGGCAGGCTATTAAATATTGCACATTAACATTGACAGGGCAATAAACAAGCTTCCAAGAGGACAGCCCGCAGTGGTGGAAAGCCGGCTCGTCGCCGACCCGCTCTGCGGGGACTGCTGATGGGCATTCGGGATGAATATTTAATACCCTCGATGTTGCCAAATCCGTTTTCTTCTATTTCTTGTTGCTGACCTGGCAGACTGGGATAGCTGAGCGCTTCTTCTTGGACTTTATGAGTCCGGGGCACGTGCACACTGGCTGTACTTGTCACAGTCTGGCAGAGGCCTGGCCGTCCCATCCCACAGAGGAGTGGCCTTGGCTTCCTTTCTGGGGAGCCTGGGGTTCTCCTTCTTCCATCCCACGTGGCTTCTGCCTGTTGTCTGTGCCGAGATGGCGTGAGGATGAGTACCGGAGCCCTAAGGAGAGTCGTCCCCAGCCCTCCCTCTGTGCCCCACACCTCAGTGTCCTGGTGACACCAGGGGCACCTGTTCCTGGAGTTGGTGAGCAAGGTCCCTGCTCCTTTGCAGGCAGGTGAGGCAGGGAGGGCGTGCCCGGCTTACGCCTGATCAGCAGTTTGCAC